ACTAAACGTCCTCTGTGCAAAAAAGCCCATTATCCAGCTCCTGACTTGCCCATCTACTCCCACTAATTGCATCTTATGCTCCAACAGATGTTGGGTGACCAAGTCAAATGCCTTCTGGAAGTTCAGATAGCATACCTCCACCGGTGGGCCCTCATTAATTCTACGTGTGACCTCATCTAGGAACACCAACAGATTTGTCATACAAGATCTCTTTTGAAGAAATCCGTGCTGAGCTGATACCAACAGCACGCTATTGACCATGTAGTGGCATGTTTGTCTTCTAACAAGGCGGTCCAAACATACATACATACATACATATTAATGATGTCAAACCTACGGGTCTGTACTTTTCGGCTGTTTGCCGGGATCCAGACTTGTGTATTGCCACTACTGTGGCTTTGCGCTAGTCGTTCGGGACAGTTTTCAGTCTAAGCGACTCTTTAAATAACTTGAAGATAGGTCCTAACATGACGTCAGCCAGCGGTCGCACATTCGCTGAGGGAATTCTGCCAGGCCCCGCCGCCTTGAGCCTATTCAGCCCTGCTAACTCCCGCTGCACATCCTAAATTTCCACAATGATTGGGGGCATCGTGCAGTTACCTTCAATTGATGAAAGGTTATCTGTCACCCTGGGGATTCTGTACGTGCTTTTGAAGAACCGTAACAGGATACGTGCTCTATCGCTTTCACTCACTGCTAACTCTCCGGTCGACGATTCCAGAGTACCAACCATTTCCCGAGTGTTGCATTTAGATTGAACATACGAGTAAAAGCACTTAAGATTTCGCTTGACGTTTTGCGTCAAGTTTCTCTCAAATTGGTATTTATTCTCCCTTTGCACTTTCTGTGCATAGCTGCGCGCTTGTTTGTAACCATTCCACGATTGATTGGTGCCATACAGCTTGTAGACCGCCCACCGTCTTCTACGAATGGTTATAGCCCCATCTATATTTGCTTTCCATCAAGGAGACCGTTACTTCTTCCCTAACGGAACCAAAGGCGCGAAACTATCCGTAAGTAGGAGAAATCTTCTCTTGATATGGCTCCATCTGGTTTCCAGAGATGCATCGTCTGGGTTGGGTACCTAGTTTATATCCTGCGTAGCTCTGGCCAGTTCTTCTTGGTTGATTTTACCGTATCGCCTCCCTAGTATGGCGGCTGGTTTAGTGTGTTTGCCTTCTAGCGTTAGTCGCAAGACCACGTGATCCTTTTCACTAGGGGCTTTTCCTGGATTATTTTCCTTATGTCTCCAGTGGTTCTGGTGATCACCAGATCCAGTATGGACGGCCTGGCATTTGCTATAAAACAGGTGGTTTGACGCACATGTGTTATTGCTTGCTGATGTCCCTCTAAAAGCAGTCCACCCCCGGTACCTGCTGGTGCCCTGTCTCCACCTCAGTTGATCTCGGGCATGTTGAAGTTTCCTTCTGGACGTGGCGAGGAATAATTGCAGCTGAGCAATTAATTCCTGATCTTCTGTCTCAGTCGCCTGCGGAGCCCGGTAGACGCACATGACGGCTAATGCGTTTCTGTCTATTTTAACAACGCAACTGATGGCTTGTATGTTGGGAGTCGCTAGGGCTGCTGCCTCCCACTGCGTGTGATCTGATTTTATCATTGTCATAACCCCACCCCCTTACCTTCCATTCACCCTATCTTGTCTATAAATCGTGTAGTCATCCATCCCCGGGGTGATATGTCGCTTCCGCATTCAGGATTCAGTTATGGCTACTATACCTGGGGTGAGGTGTCGCACTTCTCCCCACTTATCCCGTACACTGCAAGCATTGATGTACCACAGTGAGACTGTATCTGCTTGCGCATGCCTGCCTGGTCGGGAACTCATTTGTGGAGGATTCTCAAGCGTAATGCCCGAGGGGTTACCCCGTCTTTTTTTGGGGGGGGGGTGGATTACGGATGTGGTCGTGGCTTCTTCTACTTCTACTTCTTCTACCATTCCACTTTTCTCCCTGGAAATGACTTTTATCTTCATTTCAAAAGCCTCCTCTACCCCGATAGGTACATCCAACTTCACTTTTGGAGTACTTTATCTCCGTTGTAATGGGAGAGCTGGGGACTGAGCAGCTATTGAGGATTTCGCTACTATTGTCGCCCCTGTGGCTGGCTATTCGCAGCTCATCGTGGTTTCCTTCTCCGGACTGGTAGGTGCAACTAAGTTCTTTGGTTGCGGTGCTCTGTCCTGTGTTCGTGGCGAGTTTGACCTTACCTTGCGGACCACAGCATTGCCATCTTTAGCCCTCTTTTGTGCGCTTTTCCCTAAATGCAGTACATTCCCTGGTACCTTCGGTGGGGATCCGCTCAAAGGCTCTCTAGTCCTTGGTACGCAAAATATCACGTCTTTGGTTTGGTGGCCGCTTACATTATCCCCCTTCTAACTGGGTGCATTACCTTGATAGGTCTATCGGGGTGACTATTATACGCCCCTGAGTAATATCATCGATCCTTGAGGCTGGTGATAGTAGCAGATCTCTTATGTTAATGTTTGGAAACACCTCTAAGAGAGGCCTTGAACCACGTGAGCTTTCTCCTTTCCACAGGTCAATTCTGTGGCACTTGATATATGGGGTGTTGGGGGGCAACCTTGTTAGCCCAAAAATGTTTTGCACATGGCGGTGCTCATCTTCTCACCTCGGCTTCGCCATGTTAATAACTGGCTCCGCGCAATTATGCAGGAGCAAGATTTTAGTTCTTCTTAGCGAAANCGGCTCTTTTTCAGCAGTTTACGTTCTCTCTCTAACTGCTCGATCCGTTGTACAACTTCCCGGTATTTCTGCTGTTTCTCAAGTTTAACCACAGACTTCTTAGCCTGTAAAGGCCTCATAGTCTGTTTTCCAACTTTCTTGTTTCGGTTTCCTGTTTTTCTTATTTCTGTACTTTTATTTAGGGATAACGCTAAAGTAATCCCTTCCGGTTCTTCTTTGTTATCTTTATTCAGGGGAGCCAAAGACGCCTTCAGAATTCTCCTGAACTCCTCAGCTAGTGTTGCATAGTGTTTGCACACTCACTTAACGGACTTGTGCTCCATGTGGAGCTGATGCTCCTTTTTGCTCTTTTGAGAGCATCCCTGGTGGTACCACACTCCACAGCCGTCGCACTGAATCCTCTAGGCGACATACTCTGCGCAACAACTGACCCCACATGCGTTGGAACCTTTCGATTGTGCCATTCCAAGATGATTAATAAATGTCTAAATACACAGTTCTCTAACTCTGGAATAATAGACACAGGTGATACCAAAACTTAAATATTACACTTTGTCAAACTCAAAAATAAAATGCTTTAGGCCTGCGAACCACCAAGCTGCACGCAGAAAAATTACCTAGTGAAACGTTTGTGATCTTTGACAGATCACGAACGACACTGGTAAACGTACAACTACTTCAAGAATTACTAGACTGAAATATCTACTGATATTTCACTTATGCCGGACAAAATGTGTGAACGAGAAAGAGCAAAGTGGAAATTCAAACTGCGCGCTAACGTGCCTCAAGGTCACGTTCCCAGCTAGGGTGTTTCTGAAAATAGACAAATGAGACTTAGCGGTCTAGGCCTGGGCCAAGCTACCACGGTATGAATGATTCTGATCCTGACCATTGACATTTGACGGAATTGTCACAAACTGTAAAATGTTGGCACCTGGTATATTCACAGAGAATACCTAACAGAAAACACTTTTCTCCAGCATATATCCATATTTAAAACATCAATCCCTACTGGCTAGCGTGCGTCAGTGTTTTCTTAGCTTCTTACTCATCAGTAGACCGCTTCTAGGTAGACGGTTCCCCAAACATTCATCCAGGGCGGTCGTGAATGGGACTACAGTACTGTATCTGACCACGTGTACTGGCAGCCTATTCCACAAAAGGGATCATCCTTTTGTTGAAGAACCTTGCCCGGAGTTGCAGCCTACTATGATTACGCTCAAGTCTAAAGCTATGTCCCTGGAGCAACTGGAGAGACGTCGACTACGACCGAGCGTGACGCGCTTCAGAACGGGAACCTCGAGCTCGCAACACAGCCAAGTTACGGCTGGTTAAACCAGAAAACTTGTGGTTTTAGATATTTATTGAGGCACCGTGGCACGGAGAAAGTACCGGTACCGGTTAACGAACGTTAGCGCTAAAGCACGAAGGCGAGAGAACCAATGAGCGCAATAACGAGCAAAACTGAGCGAGAGTGAAAAGTGGAAGTTCTCTTCGCGGAAGGGTACAGAAGTTTTCGATCGTATAAAGGAAACATCACTGAAGTGAAAATGTGAACGTACATTTAGATTATAGATAGAAAGTGGTGTCCGGCAAATGTCTGCCATTGTCCGGCTTTCACCGTACAATCGGCCGCGCTATAGCAAACCCCCGCTAGAAAGTGCGAAAGAACTTTCGGTTGGCAACAAAAAGATGGTACTGTGCTGAGGTGCAAGATGTTCACAAAAGTTCGCTGTATGTTCGTAATGTTGGCGGACGGGGCAGCATCGAGGGCAGTGAAACAGTGGAGTAAGGTACTCACTATCGAGTCAGATGCATTGGCATGATCGAGATCGGTACAGAATACCAGCGAGGATTGCATTCTGGGTTGAACAGTTAGTGTGCTACGCCCGAGCCAAAGTACATACATTTTTGACTGAGGTAACCGGAATCACATGTGATTGAAAGGGCATGTCGTTGAATTCGTGGATAAACTGCTGTGTCGGTGGCGGCATATGTGGAACAAGAATTCGTGCAAAATACTTTGGACCATGAATGCAGTAGCCAAGGCACGTATGTGGCTTGGTAAATGTAAAAATAAAAAGAGAGAAACATGTGGTGTAGCAACCGCAGGTAGGCAAACGCGTACGCTTTTAGTACCAAACAGCAATATAAATGCTAAACAAATATCGAGTACAACTCGTGATATTAGTTGATGCAATGGTATTGCTATGCAATGTGCAATTTTTAAGGATCGAGTTTCACCTACGTTCGTAAACGTGCCGGCAAAACGATCCTTCAACCAGAACGTGAGACAGAAGTCTCGTTCGATGGTCGAGACAAAGCTGCATTGGGTTGACTTGGACATAAAACCGAGGTCACGTCCGAAATCGTAACCGAGGCGCGAGGCTGCCGGTCTGAATGAAAAGCGATTGCCTCATCTAAAGCCATGGCAGGAAGTGGTGGTGGCCAACTCGAATTTGAGGGTGAAGCCTCATTTGGAGCCGTGGCAAGTTGTGGAGGCTGCCAGCTAGGACGTGAAGCAGATGCTTCGTCTAAAGCTGGTGCAGCAGGAGAATCATGAGAGCCTAAACGTGAGACTGGTGTTTCGTTCAGAGGCTGAGAGGGATTAGCAGCACTTTCAGTGTTAGCGTGCACATTTTCGTCAAAATATGCTGCTTTAAGACGATTTATGCCAATCGTACCGACGCGGCCATGTCGATCAACCTTGAAGGTTGTGTCGTGACGTGAAATGACACGAAAAGGTCCTCCGCAAGGCTGTTTTAAATGTATGCTCACCGAATCAACTCGAACGAGAACATGCGAGCAGGATGATAACTCGTGCGGAAAAAACAACTGCCGCTGTTGTATTCGTGCTTGCGCTGGAGACAGTGTCTGCATGAAGGTGGACAAACATTACATTTATCTCAGTATGTCTATGTTGACACTACTCCGTGGCATTAAGAATTCCCCAGGCAGTCGCAATGTCGTGCCGAAGACAAGTTCAGTGGCGGGACATTGGATGTCTGCCTTTGCACAAGTTCTGATTCTGAGCAGAACTAGAGGTAGCGTTTGATGCCAATTAGAATTCTTGCGCGCCCCTAGGGCAGCCTTAAGTTGGCGGTGAAAACGCTCGACTAAATCATTAGATGCTGGATGGTAGCCTGTGGTTCGAATGCGTTCCGTATCCAGCATACGCGTTAATGAGGAGAAAAGCTCGGACCCAAATTGTTGTCCTCTGTCGGTGGTAACCGTAGAACGACAACCGTATAAAGCTACCCATCGTTCTACAAATTGTCGAGCCACTGTTTCCGCCGTGACGGTAGAGATGGGAACAGCTTCGCGCAATGTTGTAAATCGCTCAACGCATGGAAGTGTATGCGTATACCCCTGTAACGGTGGTAAAGATCCAACAGTGTCAATGTACTCATGATAGAATCGAGATTCATGCGTAGCGAAGTTGCCTATAGGTGAAACTACGTGCCTGTGAATCTTAGCTCTTTGACATTGAACACACTGTTTCACCCACATACTAAAATCTTTATTCATGGACGGCTAGACGCATCGTGCAGCATTTAAGCGTAACATGGCTGCAATACCTGTGTGAGATAGCCTATGTAATGTATCGAACACGAGACGCCAATAATAAGAAGGTACTATTGGGTGGGGGTTGCCTGTTTTGGTGTCGCAGAGAGTGATGTCAGGCGTCGTTACTAGAGGTACTGCTTGACATTGTAACGAAGATGAACGGGCTGCCTCTTAACAAGAGGTATAGTCTGTCTGTGCTGCAGCCATGGCAGAAAAATCTAGCACGGTGGGCGTTATCACATTAATGTTAATGTGTGATAACGCGTCATCAGCACAGTTCGACTTGCCCTGCACATGTCGAAGGTCAGTAGCGACCTGTGAAATATAATCTAAATTTCTGGTTTTTCGTGGAGAACAACTATCAGACTTGGTATGTAAAGCATACGTTAGAGGCTTATGGTCGGTAAGAAGGGTGAAATTCCTATCTTCGACTGCATGCTAAAAATACTTCATTGCACTGTAAGCAGCCAGCGGTTCCCGACCAAAATTACTGCACCTCGCTTTTTGGGAGTGAGGCGTCGAGAATGAAACTGGAGAGGTTGACAAATCCCAGAAACGTGTTGCTGGAAGACTACTCCGATGGCATAATCAGAGGCATCAACCGCTATGCTAAGCCTTGCTGATGGATCGGGATGCATAATGAGCGTCGTACGTGCTAAACATTCTTTTACAGCTTGGAACGCTACCCGTGCGTAATCCGTTAGTACGAGCTTACATGGATTGCCACGAAGTATGTCCGTCAATGGTCGTAGCAGTTTAGCAGCGTAAGGAATGAACCCCAGGTAGAAGTTTACCAGTCCCCAAAGTGCTTTTAGGTCTTTGAAGGAAGAAGTAACGCGTACTCTGTTATGGCACGAACCTTATCCTCACACGGCTGAATACCTTCTCGTGTGATCTTGTGGCCAAGAAAAATAAGTTCCGATCGACCAAGTTCACACTTATCAGGGTTGAATACTATTTTATGATCGAATAAACGTTGAAATAATAGGGTCAAATGATGACAATGTTCGTCTACAGTGAACGATGCTAATAATAAATCAGCAATATAGACGTGAAAAAATCTGAGTCTCATGTAATGCTATCGATAAATCTTGGGAATATCTGAGCAGCATTTCGCAAACCAAAAGGCATATGTAGGAACTCAAACAGACCAAAAAGAGTCATGACAAAGGTTTTTTAACGTCTTCAGGAGAGATTGGAATTTGGTGGTAGACCCGCACCAAATCTATTTTCGAAAAAATTGTCCAACCATGAAGTGACGCAGTGATGTCGTGTATGTGGGGAATAGAGTAGCTATTAAAACGAGTCACTGCGTTGAGTGCTCGATAATCGCCACATAGTCGCCAGCTAATGCCGTCCTTTCTAAGAACCATGTGCAAAGGAGAGACCCATGGACTGTGAGAAGGACGAACAATACCTTTTGAAAGCAAAGGATCGAATTCACGCTTAGCAAAAGCTAATTTGTCCGGTGCCAGTCGGCGAGGTCGTGCCGTGACTGGTGGTCCTTTAGTGACTATGTGGTGAGCCACACGATCTGTCATTACATTGATATCCTCAATAGGTTTAGTCAAATTGAAGAAGCGTTCCATTAACGAGTGGAACGAGTCGAGCGAATCGGGTAAGATACCTGTGATTCGGTGAACATCTGTGTGAGCTTTGAGGCCCGTAATTTAATTTCGGACAAAGTATAAATCAACCGAGGTCTACTTTAGTCAATGGGTAACTCATGTAACTGCAGAACATTGATATCGGGGATACCTGTAGGAACGTCCGCGAGAATGAATGTCCACGAATACCGCCATCGAGGCCTCAGGTTAACCGCTGGTCGTTGTGCAACGTAAGTAAGAATGCGGGTGCCATTCGCAGCGCACAACCGAAGTTGTGAAGCACGAGGCTTGCTGCTTCCAATCGATGCGACAGAAATTTGGGCTCCCGTGTCAACGAGGAACCTAATGCATGTATAGTAACCATGCAGGTAAAATAGGCGGCCAACCTGGGGGGTGGGCCGGCGAGTACGGCTGTAGTTACTCGCCGGTGGTTGCGTTTCCCGCCACGTAAGTGCAAGGGGGCTGACATCTGCGGGCACCTGGTCCATAAGTTTTATGGAACCAGAAATACCCGCCCCTACCCCATTTTGACGGTTTAGACTTGGGACGTTGGTCCGAAGGGAGGATGGGCTTCGTGCCCACGGCATGCCCGGTCCCTAGAGACCTGCGAGGTGGATTGGGGGACTCTATCCTTAAAGGATGGGCGCTCGTGAATCTAGCGTGGTTTACCACGCTATGCAGAACGTGGCGGGGTAGACTGATGGGAAGTCGTGGCAACGAGCAAAGGCTTAGCGTTGCCAACCCGGGCCATAATCTTATCTATGATGGAAGCTACCCTATCGAGCGAAGTGCTGTCACAATGGTCTGGACATGGACCGTTAAAGACTCAATCCATAGTTCCCTGACGATGTCCGAATGAGTATCGTAAGGTCCAGCGAAGGATCTCAGGGGAGCTAGATGCTGGCGGAGCTTGGCGTCACTCAATGGGCAGCGTGCCAATAGCTTCCGCATCCTTTCTTCCTTGGATAAAAGGAGAGCATCGAGGGTAGCTGATTTCATTTTGTCGAAAGGGTACTCCTGGGAGAATTCAAAACCAAATTCCGCAAAGATGACAGCTGGTCACCCGGGATGGCTTCCAGTGCCAACGCGAACATTTGGCGTTGGTTCTCAACATTTCTATGAGCAAACTGCAGCTCTAATGCTGCTAACCAAACATCGGGGTCATGAGGGACGAAAGGGATTGGGAGAAACGCTACCCTACTAAGGGTTAAGTCTGGTTTGGTTAAACGTGTCTTATTGTCAGATGAAACAAAGTTGCGATAATATATTCAAAGTAAATAAACATCGTGCAACTGAGACACAAAACCACAGAATTAACAAGGAAAACGTTTTCCTGTCTGGTTCATCAATTGAAGGTACGTCAGCTACGACCGAGCGTGACGCGCTTCAGAACGGGAACCTCGAGCTCGCAACACAGCCAAGTTACGGCTGGTTAAACCAGAAAACTTGTGGTTTTAGATATTTATTGAGGCACCGTGGCACGGAGAAAGTACCGGTACCGGTTAACGAACGTTAGCGCTAAAGCACGAAGGCGAGAGAACCAATGAGCGCAATAACGAGCAAAACTGAGCGAGAGTGAAAAGTGGAAGTTCTCTTCGCGGAAGGGTACAGAAGTTTTCGATCGTATAAAGGAAACATCACTGAAGTGAAAATGTGAACGTACATTTAGATTATAGATAGAAAGTGGTGTCCGGCAAATGTCTGCCATTGTCCGGCTTTCACCGTACAATCGGCCAAGATACTCTACTTTCCGGGATTGCAGAGAACAGCTCCTCACTTTTCATGCCGGACACAACGTTCATTATTTTGAAAGTTTCAAATAAGTCACCCCTCATTCGTCTGCGTCGGAGTGAAAAAAAGTTTAACTACGTAAGTCTGCCCTCGTAGTCCTTGCGGATCTGACCACATACCGTTCGGGTGGCTAGCCGTTGGACAATTTCCAGGCAATCTAGGTTCATCTGTAAGTGTGATGGTCACGTCTGGAGACAATAATCCAGACGTGGCTGGAGGATAATCTTATACAGCGGAACCAGAACCTGTGGGTTTCTGGAGGACATCGTAGCCCTTATCCTAAAGTGATCGCCCCATGCCTTATTGGCTGACGCCATGTACTGCCTGGAGGGCTTGCGGTCACTAGAGACCACCACATCTAGGTCATTGGTATCCGTTTCCTCCATCAGCTGCCCTATCTGGACAGGGATGTCGGCCTGTCTTGCACCTAGTCGTTGACATTTGGCTATGTTTAGTGGCAGGTCCCATTTATTTGATCAGGTGAGTATAACTTCAATGTCTTCATCCAACCGGCCACCTTCACATCGTCAGCAAACAGGTAGCACGGGTTCCGCAGCCCCAAAGGCAGGTCGTTAATGAAGATGAGGAAGAGTAATGGGCCCAGTACAGACCCCTGGGGTACGCCACTGATCACATCTGCTGGATCTGTAGTGTACGTGCAAACTCTTACCCTGAGGAAGTTATTCACCCAGGTCCTGACCCTCCCTTTAATGGCTACTGTTTGCATCTTGTGGTCTAGGTATCTGTGATTGACCGAGTCGAAAGCCTAACTGAAGTCCATGGAGCAGATTTCCACAGTGAGGTCTTCGTGGAGTCTCCTAGTCACATCATCTAGGAACAGCAGTAAATTAGTCAGATAGGACTTGCCTGTCACGAATCCATGTTGCGCGGGTGTTCTGATGTTGTGTACCACAA